AAAAAATTGTTGTTTGAAAATGATATCTCCAAAATTTATAATAACTGAAAAGCTATGCAATAAACCACTCATCTGAAAGGATCTAAAAAGTTGACATTCAGGTCAACTTTTATCTTCCTTGAAAGGATCTACAAACCCACATCAATTCATCATACATAAGTTGTTAAACAATAGTAATTAAATTAAACATATGCAACACAACACAATAGTTCCAACTGCAAAAAGACATCGATTCCCTCTCTCACTATCTCATACATGCAAAATATGGGCGATTGCTTCTACAATTAGGTGAGAAAACTCAATTTAACAATCTAATCTGCAAGATGTGGGCCATTGTTTCTTTGGTTGGCTGAGGAAACTCAAATTTACTGTCACCTGCACAAAACTAAGAACTTTAACAATAAGCATCTATTTTTAGCATATTTTTAAAAAATAACACAATATAAACTACAAGAAATTGTATAAAATCATGTACTTTACCAACCCCAAAAGAAATGGCAAAGACATAGGTAACATGTTCGTCTAGTTTTTTGGTATACACATCATGAAATTTAACAACTATACAGTCAAGGAATGACTTCACCCAACTGAAAAAAGAAATAAGAAATTGATGTTAGATATGCTTGAGTAGCTTTTTTCACATGTGGATACTCTGTGTTAACACATGTATCTTTGCTTCTACCTGATGCTTTTTTGCATACACCTAAAAGCTTGGAACCTTGAGATAATATTTGACACCAAGAAACCCAACAATTCCAGGTTGGAAATTAAAAAAACAAACATGGGAAATCAATACAAACAAAAAATACCTTACCCCCAACAGGCTTGTTACCCCTAATGTATCAAAAACAAATAAGAAAAATATATAAAAATTGCAATATCAATCACCTTAGTAGCTAAATTTTTTAAGAATCCACAATAAAATTACAGAGCATCATGAATACATAGCTTTTCCTTTAATTTTAATGCGTACTAACCTTCTACGACATCAATTTCGATTTAGATAACACAAATTAAGAAGTACAAATCAAGAGCAAACCCACTACTCGAAATTACCTCAATCTCAAAAGCAATCGATTAGACGATTTACTGCTAGTGTTTCAGGGAGAGAAATTGGTTTTAGAGAGAGAGAGAGAGAGAGAGTTTGTATTTCAAAATTTGAATTTAGATGAACAAATGAGAAAGATATGCTGATGGCAGAAGGGAGGAGCGTTGGTGAAAGATAGTGTTGCTAGGGTTTATTTGAGAGAAGGGTGTGGGGGTATGCGATGGAGCAGTAGCCAGATGTAGGTTTATGGCGATGCGGAACAACAAATCTGAGATATATTTGCACAAATCTCAGGAACATTGACTCTGTCTTGGATGATTAAAAGGGCCGAGTCAATGAGAAGGTATATATGCAGTAAGTAATTGTAATTAGTGTTAAGTATTTTGTATTACATCAAATTTAATATTATTTTATTCATGATTAGTTGTATTTTACGCTTAGAGACTTGAACGTTTTAAAAAAATATTATTATTTTATTCGATCTATTTATAGAAATAGTATGATTTCTTTTATAAGTTAATATATATATATATATATATATATATATATATATATATATATATATATAAACAATGTTAGAGATGCTAAAAATCAAAATAACATGAAAAGACATCGAACCAAAGATAGCAACGAATTAGGGTTTTTAGGGAAAAACACCAACTTGATTCCATATATTCTCAAATTCCTTTATCATATCCTGCGATGTTTAGTTATACAAAATAAAGAATAGTAGATTATAATTTTTATCCCTGGTAATGTATATATTAAAATAATAGTCCTTACACTATTAGCCAATCTCATTATATTTGATATTCTCATTATATTTTTGTTTTACACCTATTTTCAATGATATTTAAATCCACACGAAGGCGGGGATTAACTCTACAACTCCATCAAGTCACTTCAGACTAGCTACTTATTGGTCTTAATCTATTAAGTCATAAACCGGCCCAAAAAGAATAAAATTTTCATTTCATCTTTTATAACCTAAATGCACAATCTCTTGCATTTCATATTTTGAACCCCTTTATCTCATCTCATAAAAGCAACTTAAACTTATCTTAACTCATTTCATGAAGTTACATTTTCTCAATTCATGAAATTTCTCTAAATAACCAAATTACCCTTTTGGTCAAAACTTCTCTCAAAGTCAAATCCTTCTAACTTTTTGGTTCTTACAATAACCACATACATGACCATCATGTATGAAACATTAAGTTTCATACTAAATCAACTACGTTTCACGAGTATCAATTTTTCTAGTGATGTGATATATGTGTTTTGCAATGTACCATTTGATATTACTTTTCCAAAAAAATATTTTTGACTTACTTTATGTTTTGCTAGATATGATTTCATCCAACTAAATTTGGGAATTAACTTTTTTTTACATCTTTTGTATTGTTACAATATAGAAAAGGTGCATACCGAAACAAACTGCCCATTTAACACATATGGATGAGAGAGAGAGAGAGAGAGAGAGAGAGAGAGAGAGAGAGGGGTCAAATAATTATTGTGAGGTAAAATTTATACCAACAATCAAATGTAACAAAATCATATTGATGCCTAATTTATTTCAACTAAAACTTGCAAGGCTAAGATAAAATTGCATGAACCATTAAGTAAACAAATCTTTTACAACTTTCACATTTTTTTTTTTTTTTTTTTTTTTTTTTTTTTAAATTACAACTTATATAAACACTAGCTGAAGCTAGCAAAAAAGAGAAAATTACATAAAGGTTATAAAAAGGATGGGGTTTTGTAACCACCCCTAACTAATTTTAAAACTCCTGCTCTTATTATTAATCCAAAGAAATGACTGAGAAGTAATTTTATCAAAAAGCTCACATTTCAACATCTTATGAGAATCATAAACTATGGAGTTTCGATCACGCCATAGTAGCCACCAAAACACGAAGAAAGTTGCCTCTATAAAATCTTTCACTTTCGAGTTTAGGTTCAAAGAAAAGAACCACTTGAACTTGTTATGAAAAGAGTTGCACGAGGGCTAGAAATATCCCATAAGTGATGGAACAAAACCAAAAGCTCCCTAGAAATAGAGCATTAAAAGAACAAATATGAAGTTGAATATGTGGCACCATTCAGTGGCAGAGTCACTAGGGTTAGCCGGATGCTGCGTCTCCCCTAACTGGCCAATTCATAATGTAGCATTCCAATTGTAAATCTGTTTGAAACATACTAATAAGGCCCATATGAAATAAATCCCCTCCTATCTATTTAATTGTCTATATTTAACTACATAAACAATATATATTATTTTTCTGTAAATCTCAATCCTCGTTATTTAATATGGAGACATATTGTATTATTGTTGTTTCTCCACTCAAAACCTTCAAGCCAAGGTAATTCATAAATTTATTACATATTCTAAATATTTTGTAATTTACAATTAATAATATTATTAATCATAATCGATTTCCTAAAAATGTAAAGTAATCATAACAAAAAAAAATATATATTGATTTTTTTTTTTCAAACGAAATGATATTCATTGACTACGATTGCATCTAGTTAGTGGTGATATTTAAGAAAATATGCATAATAAAGGTTCATAACCTAAAAGAAATACTAGTATTGAAGAGCTAGTATTTTAATTATAAATTTATATATCTGTGTTGTACATTTTAATATATATATTTTTTTATGATTTTATCCCTTTATTTTAAAATCATATAGTACCATTACATATAAGTTAAACCTAAAAGGTAATCTATCCGGCAACAACCCTGCCATAAAAACATTCATCTTGGAGGGTGTTTGTTTTATCTTTTTGAACCAACTTTTACACTTTATCTTTTCCAAAAAGTTAAAATAAGGTAAAAGATGTTTGGCAAATATAAAAGATCTTTTAAAAGTTACTTTTCATAAAGAAGGATTTGAGGCATTTGGAAAAGTCACGTATCTGTGACTTTTTGAAACTTTTGAAGGCTTTTTCAATTAAATGACTGATATACCCCCTACCCTAAAAAATAAACTCGTTCTTTTCTTTGAAGGCGTATATTTTTCTCGTTCTGCCGCTATCTTTCCTCTCTCGTTCATCACTCGTCTGTCTCTCGCTGTCGTTCGTCGCCGGCATTCTCCAACACAACGCCGATCGTCCGGCGATCCACACAAATCCGACGATCCCCTTTCTCCCTCTCCGACCAGGTATTCTCCGATTTTTTTTATTTATTTATTTTTTTTTTTTTTGTCTTTTGATTTTCAATTTTAACATCAAAAATCTGTGAAGCTGCGTTTTTGCTTGTACTGTAAGCGGACTTCTTCCTCAGATTTCGATATTCCTAGATTTATATGTGATTTGTTCCTTGTTCCTTCAATTTGTTCCTTGTTCCTTGCATGGATCGGTCCCTGCTGTTAACAGATTGTGTTGTTAACACTTTAATACAATTGTGAAATTCATTTGTTGTTCTAATTTTTATGGATGATATTAGTGAAATTTATTGGATAATTATTAGTGAAATTCATGAATATATGGATGATATTGATTAAAAGTGATGAAATTTTTTTGTTCACAGGAACCAATTTGTGTTGCTAACAGGTAACATTTGTTGTTCTAATTTTTCTGCTTTAATTAAACTATAGCTCATGAATCATATAAAAGATTGATTAGCAATTGTTTAAATTGATAAAACCATTTAGGAAGGTTATTGAAATTGGTTTGGTGTTAATATGTTGATATGAAATTCACAGATGGATGAAAACCTCACCACTGTTGTTGACTGTGAAACATCTTTAAAAATGAAAAAACCAAAATTCGTATGGGATAATCGTAGCTTCATGGTGTTTGTTGATTCATGTGTAACTGAAGTAAAAAAGGCAATAAAACCGGTAGTCACTTAACTAAAGTTGGGTGGGAGAATATACAAAAACACATGAAGGACAAAACAGGTTATATTCTTGAAAAAAAAAACTAACAAACAAATGGGAGAATATGAAAAAAGAGTGGAAGCTTTATGACCGATTAATGAGGCTTGAAACCGGACTCGGTGGGACGAGAAGCCAGATAGATGCATCGCCCGAGTGGTGAGAGGAGAAAATAAAGGTATTTACTATTCTTTGTAATTATTTTAAGTTATAATTGCATATATATTGCATATAGATTGAGCATATTTGATTTACATTATCTTTTTGTCTTGTAGGAGAATAAAGATTATGCAAAATTTAGGAACGCAGATTTGAGCCTATTTGATGAGAAATATGCTTTTTTGTTTCGGGATTCCGTTGCCGTTGGAGATTAGACTATGACTCCATTACAGTTTTAAAACAATAGCAATCCAAACGGAGAAAATGTGGAAGGCAAAGGAGATAGTGATGATATCAATTTAGATGATGATGTTGAGCCGCTTTTTCCTAGTTTCCATGAAAGTAGTTCAAGTAAGAAGAAAAGGTCTAAGCATGTTTCCAACAACCGTTCAACCAAGAGTAAAAGTTCAGTTTTCGAAGAAAAAGTAGATGCTTTGTTGGATGTCATATCAACAAAAAGCACACAAACTTATCCACAAAATAATCCTTCGCCAACAATAGCAGATTGCATGGCCATTGTTACCAAGTTTCCCGATTTTCGTGAAGGCTCCAACGAATTTTCACAAGCATTGTTTGTGTTCACCAAAAAGCAAAACCGTGAAGCTTTTATGTTTCCAACGACTGACGAAGCCAAGATGGGGTTCCTTAAATTACTTATGAAATAATTATTTAGCAATATGTGTTATGCTTTGACATTATGTTTTAGGAATATGTGTTATGTGTTTACAATGTTTTAACATTATGTGTTGTCCTTTGACATTATGTATTTGACATTTTATATTATGTGTTATTATTTGTCTTTATGTTATGTGTTATTGTTTGACATATTTTTATTTGTATTATGTAGGATGGATAGTGATGAGTCTAATTCTTCTAATGATAATGAAGAATGGTGGGTGGAAGAGGATAGACAATTTAAAATGTTATGTGGATTAGCTTTAAAAGGTATAATACTAGCTCGTAACGTACGTATGCCATGTCACACTTCAGACCGCACAGGGAACATGTTTATTAATGAAGTACTAAATGGACATCCTAGACGGTGTTATGAGATGTTTAGATTGCACGTACCGGTTTTTAGACAGTTATGCGCAGATCTTGCTACAAATTACGGGCTACAACAAACACGAAATATATCTATTGAGGAATCTGTAGGAATATTCTTGATGACGTTGGCTCATGGGTGTAGCAATAGATTTGTGCAAGAGTTTTTTAACCATTCGGGGGAAACAATTCATAGGCATTTCCATACAGTTTTGAAAGCCGTGCTAAAACTGAGTGCCGACATCATCAAGCCAGACGCAAACTATAATGATGATGTTCCTGAATATATATTAAATAACCCTCGGTATTACCCAATGTTCAAGGTATTATCTAATGTTCATTTTGTTAGTAGTCAAACTTTAACAAATCGTTTATTTATGATACATTTTTGTATTTGAAGGATTGCATTGGTGCTATAGATGGGACACACGTTAGGGCATCAGTTCCACAAAACGAGGAAGCGAAGTACATTGGTCGAAAGGGATATGCAACACAAAATATAATGGCTGTTTGTGATTTTAACATGTGTTTTACATTTGTATGGGCCGGTTGGGAGGGAACTGCACATGACACAAGAATTTTCAATGAAGCCCTACAGAGATCAGATCTTAATTTTCCATATCCAACTGGTGGTTAGTTTAATTTTTTTGGAACACAAGTTTTATATTTTTACTACTTTTTTGAAAGGAAAAAATAATTTGTTTGTTTTAATTACAGATAAATATTACGTTGTTGATGCCGGATATCCAAATACTAGAGGGTATCTTGCTCCATACAAAGGCACAAATATTCGTTATCATTTACCGGATTTTCGACGTGGACACTCGGCTGCTGTTCGTGAACCTCGTGAACCGAAAGAGAAATTTAAATATCTCCACTCATCATTGCGGAATATCATTGAACGAACTTTTGGAGTATGGAAAGCTAGGTGGGCGTTATTAAGAGACATGCATGTTAATTACAAGTATAAGAACCAAGTTAAAATTGTGATAGCATCGATGGCGATCCATAACTATATCAGAAAGTTTGGTAGGTTTGATGAAGCGTTTAATAGGGCACAACAAGAATCCTACAATCCCATACGAAGTGATACTAGTAGTGAAGTTTACGAAGAAGGTCCGAGTACACGTCGCACGAGTGGTGATGATTTATATATGGCAACGATACGAGATATTATTGCACAAGATATAAACATATTGCGAAGACGAATGTAATATTATTTATGAATTATTTATAATTTGTATGAACATTTTTTAATGTTATAATAAAAATTTAGGAATATTTAAAAGAAATCTATATTTTATATTTTCTAATAAAATGTTTACAAAATTATAATATGTATTTAAAAAAAAATGTTAAGTTGAAAATAATATATGTAAATTACTAAATAATTGTAAATATATAAGCATGTTCTTTTTAGTTATTTTACATGCAAAAGTTAAGCCAAACACCTTTTAAAAACAACTTTTGACTTTTGTTTCTCAAAAGTTAATCCAAACACATTTTTAAAACCATCTTTTGTGAAAAGTTCTTTTACAAAAAATCCTTTTGCAAAAAGAACTTTTGATGGCAAAAAGATAAAACAAACACCCTCTTGATAGGATTTTCTAAAAACTAAAAACTTTGAAAATTCTAACCCACGTAAACAACCTTTTAGCTAAAAGATTTAGAAAGACAACATACCACAAAAGTAAATCTTTCCCTAAAATAGAAGAGTAGGTTCCAACGGTTTTAACTTTTATGGTGTTTTTTACTGACTTTCACAATCTTAAAATGACTATGCTGCTTTTTTACTTTGTTTTGTTTTTTGATTTTTTTTATTTCAATATAATTTTATATGATAAATTTAAATATTTTATAAAAAGTAGCCCCACATTTTTTAACCATCAACCCCATCCCCGTATATGTTCAAACCATTGTACTTTCAGTGCACTGGCCGGACGCCACACCTCTTCGCCGGAGCAGCCTTCTTCCCCGAACGCCATCTTCTTCAATCGCGGCCATCTTCCTTCAGTAAAAGCCTGTCCTTTCTCACCCTTTATGAACCAATTTGAACAAGTTTTTTCCTCTTGCGATCGAAACACACCATAACAGAGCTGAAGCGAGAAGAGAACTGGAACGTACTTGATAGTTCTTCATCGGTTGCTAGAGTCCTTGGTTTGATACGTTGCATCTACAGTTCGCAACATAGACATATCGTCTAAAGCCCCCGATATCCTGAATGGTAAGGTTTTGAACCCTTGATTCAATATATACTTCCGCTTTTATTAATTTTGGTAACGTGTGCTTAGATATCTGAAAATTGTTTGATTTTTAAGTTCTACTGTTCCTATTTACTAAATTGAATACCTAATTTGCAATGTCAAGTGTCAAGTTTGTGGCGTGATGTGTTATTTTAAATGCATAGAAGGTGTTCGATGAAATGCCTGAAATAACTATTGTTGTTTTCGCTGACCTAACCTGTTATCTTCGTCTAGATTATCTAATCTTTACATTTATTTGAAGGATTTCACGGAGAAAAGGAACGTTTAGCACAAAGTGGTCGCGCAGTTCAATGTTTTTATTTTTCCGGCGAACCACCGCTGCATTGCGTATATTTCCCTCTCCCTTTCTTCCTCCAGCAAGGCTCCTCTCAGCACTTCCGGCCAATCTCTCTCCGCCAGAAAAACCAAACTCCGTCACAACACAACCCCTAACAAAGCCCCAACTCACAACCCTAGTCCTCGCTCAATACCACCATGGCAAATTCTCCAACCTTCTCCAGAACATCATCTCCTCACCCTCCGTCCTCCTCACAGCCTGCCACAACCTCATCCATGGCGGCCCAAACTCACCTGCACCACCTTCCATCAACTCAATCTCATCTAATTTCTTCTCAATCACGGATATGTCTGAAGAGATCTGCCAAAACAGATTCGATTTCAACTCATGCCTCCTCAAAATGGCGAACAAAGGTGAACCAATTTCTCTCGCTCTTCCTAACTTGAAACTTAAAGTCTTGATTGAATCCATTAGAATGGTTTTAGAAGTCATATATGATGATCGTTTTGCAACTTTTAGCTATGGTGGTCGTGTGGGTATGGGTAGACACACTGCAATTCGTTATCTAAAGAACACTGTGGAAAACCCCTCTTGGTGGTTTACTGTTTCTTTCAATAACAAAACACAATTCGGTATAGAAAACACAAACAAACTATGCTTGATTATAGAAGAAAAAATAAAAGATGAGATGTTCATTGATATAATCAAGAGGTTGATCATGTCCAAAATAATTTCCCTTGATTTGGGTGGATGTTATTTAGGAAAAGGGCTCCCTCAAGAATGTGGGTTGAATTCAATCTTGATTAACATCTACTTGAACCCATTTGATCAAAGATTACAAGAACTACGTCTTCATATCAACAAAAAAACCCCAGAATCTAGATTGATTGAAGAAGATGAAACTAATCATGTTTTCCATAAACCCTTAAAGATATACGCTGTTAGGTACTTAGATGAAATACTTGTAATCACATCCGGATCAAAGGGCTTAACCATGAATTTAAAGAAACAAGTTGTTCAATTTCTAGACAAGAATTTGTGTTTAGAGATAGATAGGGGTAAAACCGTCATTCACAGTGCGGTGTCCGAGGAAATTACATTTTTAGGCATGGATCTTCGGGCAGTAACGCCCTCGGTTTTGCATCCTCCAATGTCGGAAAAGGCAATAAGGGCGAAAAAAAAGTACTTAAGACAAAAAGAAGTAAGACTTCAAGAACTTAAAAACAGACGAGAAACAAATCGGAAAAAACTCGCTATGAAAATCTTTACACATGTCTACAAAAAACTCAAAACAAGCAACGGATTCAAATTCGATTTCAAAATCGAAAAACAAATTCGTGAAATTTTCGACACGTGGGCCCGCGAAACCGTTGATGAGTTCTTAAATTCAATAGAAGAACGCGCACCCGTGTATCGAAATCTCTCGGGTGGAGAGTTTTTATCTTTAAAAAGAATCCGAGACCAACTTCCAGAAGAATTAATACAATCTTACAATAATTTTCAAGAAAAAGTCGACAAGTATTTGAACCCGATAAAAGCACGAGAGAAGTTACTAGATATAAAAATGAAACAAGAACAAGAAGAAGAACAAAAATACACCGAAAGAACAGTCAAAGATTTAACCCAACTTCTTATAAAAGTCGATGCACCCGAAAAATCGATAAAAAAATCCGTAAAATTAGCGGGATTCACGAATGACATGGGTCGCCCGAGACCGATAACTTTACTCACGGCTCTTGAAGATATCGATATCATTAAATGGTACGCGGGTATCGGAAAAAGATGGCTAAATTACTATTCGTGTTCTAGAAACTTCAAGTTTGTGAAAACAATTGTGAGTTATCACTTGCGATTTTCGTGTTTATTGACTTTAGCTGAGAAACACGAATCAAGTAAACGAGAAGCTATTAGACATTACACGAAAGATTTGAGGGTTTTTGATGTTGATGGAAGTGAAGAGTTTTGGTTTCCTAGTGAAAGGGAGATTAAGATGATGGGGGATAAGAATCTTGTGGATCCGAAACCCGTGGATGGAGTTTTGAGTATGGTGTTGATAAGATTGGCTTTTGATGAGGGTTTGTATCGATGTGGTGCGCATTTTTGTGAGAGATTTGATACGATTGTGTATCGGATTCGGTTGTTGGATCGAGGTTTGAATTTGGATGAGAAGTGTTGGGTTTTTGATAGGATGTGTGTTGTGTTGTGTAAGGATCATGTAAGTGAGATGTATGTTGGTGAACTTACGCTACAAGATGTTGACTATTCGAGCTTGATATGTATTTGATACCGGATTTCATGTTTCAAATATCATGTATGGACTTGTATTTGCTCACTTTTTTTTAATAGTCAAATATCTAAAATGGAAATGGTCGTGATACGATAAAATTCCGTGGAATGAATAAAAGAATCTTGTTATTCATCTTCTTATAAGCATTAACTTCTTGTATTGCATTTTTTTTTTCATTTAATAACGAAAAAACCCAATTTAGAGGAAATCATATGTTTGGACAAACCTTGGCTCACATACTGTGAGAAAATGAGGTTCTGTTTTCAATGTTTAACTCCACCACCACAAGAAATATGAGGAAATCAAGTCCCGATTCTTGAAATGGATATTTAGAAAACTAAGGTTGAAATTTTAATTCCAAAAACTATTACCTCTTAAAAGTGTGGGTTAGATAGACGAGAGGGATGAATTTTCAAATATTGTGGGTTAGAAGGGATGAAAATAAAAAGATAGAAAGAAGTTTATACATGTGTTGTATATGGGTCCGAAAGGATGAACATTTTTAAACAACTAAATATAGATTAAGCATAAGAAAAGTCACATACGCACCAAACTGAAAAATTACATAAACCCTAACCTTAGTAGTGACTAGATTGATTCTCGATATTTACAAATAATTTTCGTCAAAAAAATCGAACCCCCTTTTAAAAATCAACAAACCCTAAACCTAAATTTGTGTTCCTACCTCCACCATCGTAAATCTTTGTGGTGTAACTCTTCAGTGTTGATTTAATCATTGGTAAATCTCCAAATGACAGTTAGAGTTCCCAAACACTATGTATATGATGAATCCTTTTGAGGGTGAAGTAGTCCTTATATTTGTGTTTGTAGGAGAATCGTTTTTTTTTTTTTTTTAAATATATTTTTTAAATTTATCATCATTTTATATGGATAGAAAAATAAATAAAAATAAAAAATAGAAATATAATTAATTTTTCTAAGTGTATTAAGTATAATAGATAAACAAGAACAAAATAATTATAAAAACCAAAAGTAAAAGTGAAACGGTTATTTTGTAATGAAATCACGACTTCACTCACGAGGTAAAAAGTAAAACTGTAAAATCGTAAAAGACAATCTCCCCGAGAAAAATATATGGTTTAAGTACTGTGTCAGTGGGAGTGACACGAATCTCCATCTCTCCGACATTAATTCCCTTCGTGCTCATTCACTTCCCTTGTTGAGATCGCCCCCTGGATTCAAATCCCTACTAAAATTTCACTCACCACACAAATCGCATCCATAAATCATCAAATCTTGTGCCATAATCCATATACTCCTTCAAGAAATGGGCGGATTCCCTTTGTCCCCATCAGCCCTCGATTCGAAATCAGGGAAGCTCATACTGTTGGTTCTTCTCGTAATGACTGCATCTTTCTATACCGGAGCCTTTTTCGGCCGCAATTCTTCAAATTCTCCATCAATACAATCTCCATCATCTTCAGAAACAATAGGTATTACCCTTTTAAGTTCTCAATCAACTATGGTTTTTGCTTAATTTTGAATTGCCTAAGGTTCCGTTTGCAAATTTTAGTTCTGTAGCTGCTTTTGTGGATCTGTTTTTTGGGAATATTATATTAAATCCTACCCATTTAGGCATTTACACATAAACGCTTAAAACGTGACTTCACTTTGATTTGTCTTTGTGTAGAATGCAGATCTTAATAATCTACAATATATTCGCATCACTGATCAATCTTTATACTTGCAGATACTCTTACTTTTAGTAACAAGGTTACTCTCACTCATCGTAAGTCACCCATTATAATTCCAGAATCCGGGATGAACATATGCCCTATAGAATACAATGAGTATATTCCATGTCATGATCCTTCTTATATAAAAGAAATAACACCAAGTTTAGATCTTTCCAAACGAGAAGATTTGGAAAGACATTGCCCTCCATTAGAACGACGTTTATTTTGCTTAATACCTCCACCACAAGATTACAAGATTCCAGTGACATGGCCAACAAGTCGAGACTACGTATGGAGAAGCAACGTGAATCATACGCGTCTTTCTCAAGTAAAAGGTGGCCAAAACTGGGTGCATGAAAAGGATCAACTATGGTGGTTTCCAGGTGGTGGGACCCATTTTAAACATGGAGCTAGTGAATACATTCAAAGACTAGGAAATATGACAACCAATGAAACAGGTGATCTTCGTGCTAATGGGGTATATCAGGTTCTTGATGTTGGTTGTGGAGTTGCTAGCTTTTCTGCATATCTTCTTCCTTTAAATATACAAACCATGTCATTTGCTCCCAAAGATGGCCATGAAAATCAAATCCAGTTTGCTTTAGAACGTGGGATTGGTGCTATGATTTCAGCTTTAGCTACAAAACAGCTTCCATATCCACGTCATTCATTTGAAATGGTTCATTGTTCAAGGTGTCGTGTTGATTGGCATGAAAATGGTATGTTTTGTATTGCATCCGAAAAGTTTGTACTTCAAATGGTTTTGATTGGATAGTTCATAGTTCATATATAGTTTTTAGATATAGTTAATTAATCTATATAGATATTAAAATTTGTTGATTCTTTTTGTTGTTTGTGTAGATGGCATTCTACTAAAAGAAATAAATCGACTTCTTCGACCAAATGGATATTTTGTGTATTCAGCTCCTCCAGCTTATAGAAAAGACAAGGATTATCCTATTATCTGGGATAAGTTAGTGAAGATAACTTCCGGAATGTGCTGGAAGCTTATTGCTAAGAAAGTTCAAACAGCAATATGGATGAAGGAAGTTGATCAGTCATGCCTTCAGCACAATGCAGAGGAGAAAATTATAAATATATGTGATGATTCTGTAGATGATAACACTAAACCCTCATGGAAAACACCATTGAGGAACTGTGTTTCATTGGGCCCCACTTCAGATCCTCAAAAACTCCCTCCTATACCACAACGTTATTCGGTGTATTCAGAAAGTCTTGATAAGTTAGGTTTCACACAAGAGAAGTTTCTTTCAGACACCCTTTATTGGCATGATCAAGTTCGTGAGTATTGGAGGTTGATGAATGTTGATGATACTTCAATTAGAAATGTAATGGACATGAATGCCCTTTATGGTGGATTTGCAGTTGCTTTTAGTACTTGGCCTGTTTGGGTAATGAATGTAGTTCCTTCAACAATGAACAATACTTTATCAGCCATTTATGAACGTGGTCTTATAGGTGCTTTTCATGATTGGTGAGTTGAAGTAGCAAAAACTTTATCTCTATCTAGATGTTTTTTTGAATGATTTATTTGTGATTTTGCCACGTGTAGGTGTGAGCCATTTTCATCATATCCAAGAACATATGATTTGTTGCATTCAAGCTATCTCTTTTCTCACTATGGAAACCATCAAAATGGTTGCTTATTGGAAGATGTGATGCTAGAGATGGATCGTCTTATACGACCTCAGGTATTACTTGAAAAATTCACAAGGTTCATTTCATATGATGTAACAAATTTAAACTTGTTTTCTACAGGGTTTTATTATTATCAGAGATGATGAATCCATTATATCTAGAATAAGAGATATTGCTCCCAAGTTCCTATGGGAAGTTAATTTGCATAAACTAGAAAATCAACAAAAGCAATCAGAATCCGTGTTAATTTGCCAAAAGAAGTTCTGGACAATCGTCTAATTTAACATTCACATGTTCGAGTTCTCAAATTCAACGATTAGAATTCTCATAAACATGTTTAAATTATTGTAGATATTTGTTTATGTTTTCTGTAAATTCTTGATGTTCTTAACCAAAGGATATAGACACCTGCTAATGTTAGTCATGAGTTTCAGAGGGTTGATAGGGGATTAGGGTTCAACAGTGTGTGTGAAGTTTTGGAATGGGACAACTGTTTGATCTGTGTACTATCCTTTATAATCATTTGGTAGTGATTGGTATCATGGAATCGGGAAAAACTGGAATCATTTATTAGATTGGCGTGAAAGAAACACCGTTTGATTTGATTTATCCAACTAAATAAAACCTACCATTAATTTAAGGAATATGATTCCCTTAATCTATTATAATAAAATTTGTTTTTTGGACTTTAGGATTTTCCTCATTTAATGTTAGATTTTAGGGTCTTAGAATATCAATTAATCTAGATTATTTTTAGGATCGTGGTTTCAATCACCTTTCAAAATATGTAATTTCGACTCTTATGCCCGGGGGTATCACGAAATCCAATTTTAGATAATCTATGAAACGCAATTTTGAAAATCAAGACACTTCCAAAATCAAAACACATAAATATACCATCAAGACACTTCCAAAATCAAAACACATAAATATATCTTGCTATTTTGTGTTCTGTTATCTCAGAACAAAGTATACTTTTCGTGTATATGAGTTCCAACCATTTTTTTGGAACCAAAGAAAGGTTCTTATACTAGAGGGAAAAGAGGTTATGACGGTTGCCTCTAGATTTGGCGCAAAAACTAATAGTTACTTGATATAACTAACTCTTACATCATCAAAATGTCATCAAGAGAGATTTAGTGCTAGGGGCGTTGCCCTTTGGACCCCGCTAGGGGTGCTGCCCCTAGATCTCTTCATATGGGTGCATCCCCTTAGAATCCTAGGGGTTGTGCTCATGGATTCCTATATTTCCAAGTTCTTAATTAGCATACCAAGCGTGTACTCCCGTACCTCCAATCTCGGTTAGTAAATGAAGTTCGATCTATCTTATTATTAATAATAATTATACCAAAATATGTTGATAACACTAAAATTGCCAATATCTAATAATAAGGTGGAATGAAAATTGCTGTTATTTTAATTAACCTAATTGTAGATATGAAAAATCATTTTTGTAACACTTCAAAAGTCATAAAAATTTAAAACTTTTCAAAAACAACCATTAACCATCATTGTTTACAAAAAAAGTCATTGTTTCAGAAGTAAAGTCATATCATGGTGTCCCCAAAATCAATATCATGAAAATTGAAAGATGTTCACGATCATGCCTTCGTTTTCCCACCATCCTTAGAAGTACCTGAAACAATAAACTAAAACCGTAAGCCAAAGCTTAATGAGTTCCCACAAAGTACCAACACACTACATAACACACAAAGCATGCAAATATCAACCTTCAGCCTGACGGGACCGTCTCACAAGTCATACAACTTATCTAGACCGCTTGACGAGCCTTCGGCACGACTGGACTGCTTCGTAGGGCCAACAGCCTATCTGAACCGCTCTCCGGGCCTTCGGCATGAATGGGCCGCCTCACAAGGCCTACAACCTATCTGGACCGCCTCAGGTGTCTTGGCCTTCAACACAAAGTAGGACCGCCTCAACCCAACCACAATATATCGACATAGATAACAGATAAATATAAACACATAACTAACAAATATAGAGAATCATACAGATCTACTAATCGACCATATACTAGCATAGTACTATCCTATAACTAGTATTTCGGGTCCTTAGCGTTGTTGAGATGTTTCTTCGTTGTGCATTGGTCTTCCCTTAGCTATTCATGCACATGTACTCGTTATGAACAAAATATAACCGTTATGAATTGTTAATAAAAAAAATAACGGTAATAGTCGGGATCCTGAGGTAACTGAGGATCCTAGATATTTGTGGATCCTAACCCTAACAATTACCCCCAAGTTATTCCTGAAAATGTAAGAGTTAATTTTGAAAATATTAAAGGAATAACTTAAATTAAATTCAAAAGGGAAATTCAAATCATTCCTTAATGGATAGATTTTATCTTTATCGAGATAATCGAGAAATAGTCAAATCATCTCTATTATCTTTTCCTGGCTATAAATTTGGATTTTCGGTACCTTCCTCTTTACTTTCTTCAGTGGTCATCTTCTTATTGCGAACGTAAATTTTCTTACTACCTGTTTCCTTTTGTCCCTTCAATCCCTTTCGTCATGGCCAAGAAAGCTATTCGTTCTCGAGGTAGTGTTGTTACCTCTCCCGAGAATGATTTCATCGATCAAGCAATTTTAACCTATGATGAGGTTTTCTCCTTTGACGATGAGGATATAGAATCGTTGAAAACTATAGGGGCTTTTTCTTCCGACGTAGTTTTCTGTCCTTTCGAAGCTACCGTCCAACCTGATTTTATGTCCCCAACGTGGGTCTATTTTCCTGAATACCCGTTCACTCTAGGGTTAACCTATCCTTTCACTGGCATCATTCGCAATTTCTTTCTGACTATTCAGATTTCTTATATCCATACTATGCTTGTGGTATGGAGGATTCTTTTTTGGATCAACCGCTTAAATCAGTACAAAAATATGGACATTGGTTCATCTGAGTTGGATCTCATCTATGATCTTTCTACTTATGGTTCTTCCCGTTTCCTACTAAAAGTCAAGACAAAAAAACCCACCTCATTCTGAAATCTAAACAAAATGAAGACGCTTGGAAGGAAAAATACTTCTTTGTAAGTCGTGACTCGATTCCTGAAGGGGATTCTTTGCCAAAAACATGGATTAAAAAGGGTAGGATTTAATTCAGACTTTTAAGGATTTTGAAATTTACTTCCCTTATTTTGTTTGTTTTGTTGTAACGTTCAAATTTGAGGAGCTTGCTCCCTCCGCTGACGATTTTGAGGACAAGATTTCCAAGTTTCTTGCACACTCGAGAGGTCGTTCAAGCCCGAACATTCCAGTCTCTAAGAGGGTTCCTCCACTACTGCCTCTATGGCTACTGGTAATGTTATTTTTCTCGGATGTATCTTTTAAAGGATCCCGATTTGATAGGGATCTCTGGCAAGTTCTAAGACTACTCGGTCCAAGGCTTGTTTTGGTTTGGCAGATCTTGAAGATGATATGACCAGCGGTTCGATCAAGGTCAAGCAGGAAAATGGTGCCATTCTTCCTCTTCCCAAGAGATCTTATATAGATCTTACGATTAATATTTCAGGATCCCGAAAACGAAAGACTTCTGAGGCTGTAGACTTTAGCCTAGAGAACCTCAACATCGAGGATGCTCTTGGGAAGTTATCCTCATTTTCCCAAGCTGTAAGCATTTTGTGCATAGACATGATTTATATTAATAAATCATACCTGTTCTTTTTCATGTTGATGTTTATATTTCTTCTAGGTCTCCACTCACGTTTCCCATGTTACCAATGATCTCAGGGTTTGTATCGATAAAGTCGAATTTGTTCTAAAAGAGCAGGAGAAGAGATGGAGGACCACCAATGAGGATCATCTTTAGAGGGTGGAGTTGTTGAGTAAACAGAAAGTCGAAAAGGAGGAAGAGCATCTCATGGATCTCGAGGAGGTGATCGTTAACACAAAGACAAGCGCTGTGATAGCTATTCTGCAGGCTAAGATTAAGCTGGCAGAGGATCTAGAAAACGCAATGTTTCAGAGACATGGATGGATGGCGAGAGGCATTGGCTAAACTGATCGATAAGCATGGTATCACCAATCAGGATCTTGTGCGGTTACTGACCGGAGGAGGGGAGAAGAAGGACACATACGATGATGACCAAGCTAAGGTCTAGGCCTGCAAAAAGCTAGTTTAAGTAGTTTTTGTTTTTATCAATAATGCAAAACAATTAATCTTTTGGTTGGGTTGGTACACAACCCCTTTTGAATGCAATAGTTGTGTTTTCCTTTTATATCTCTCTCTTGATTTTTCTGCATAACTGTTACAATATTAGGATTCGTAAATAATCAGGATCCCAGAAAACCTCGTTCCTGCAAACAATCCTGAGACAAAATTCTCTCAGTGAATTATCTTTAGTATACTTGAACTCTGATAACCAAATGATTTTCGCTTAGGATCCTTAAACTTTACTTAGTGTTTTTCGAGAATAATGATAGATGGAACCTGATTGTCTTCAAGTTTTTCCTTAAGCTTCATAAGCTCTTCAACCTTAGAATTTACCGAGGATAAATCTCAACTTAGAAAAGAACTTAGGATCGTTGTTGACTTCTGATGATAAGGTTCTTCACTAATTACGATCCTTACCGATAAGGATCCTTAATGATGAGGATCCTTAAGGATGAGGATCCTTAATAATGAGGATCCTTAATCATAAGATCACATGGGGGAGTTCCATTCTTAGGATAACTTGTTTAGATTATAGACTTTGACAAAATTCTTGTGTAACACTATAGGTTCAATGGATAACATGTTAATGTTATATACTGGGGAGGATTCCAACTAGTGATATAATTCATGGGAAAGATCCTTACTTATGATAACATGAAAATGTTATGGTTCGTGTGTTCTCTGCGGAAAATTCCCAACGTGTTATAACATGAAGATGTTATAGACCTCATGTAGTTTCTGGGGTAAGATCCCAAAATTTGATAACATGAAAATGTTATAAACCTTAAGGATCTCAACTTATATTCAAAGATAAGAGGGTTTCCAAGCCACTGAATCATGAAATGATCCCCTTATCCGTATCCCATAGTTAGATATTGTGCATCCAAGCGAGGTGTATAAACCATAGTTCGTGTGAAAGAGGTAATTAGCTCTTTAAAGCTTAGAGGGGATTAAGTACCCTTAAACATAGGAGAGATGATCAGTCTCTAGCTTGTGTATATGGTAGTTTAAAGATTACACCACTAAATATAATGAAGTTTCTCAAGTGTTAAGGTACGGATATCTTCGTGTGCAAGATCCTTATGTTTCAGGATCTTGAACCTTGAGGATCCTTATATTTCAGGATTATTGCTTATGGAGATCCTTAGTTGTATGCTATTCTGCATAGAAAATGTTAGCTAGGGGTGGGTGCTAGTCTAGTTAACGCCCCTCCGATGCTTTAGTTAGTAACATATTCGAGGAGAAAATAAGTAATTATGAAAAGTTTAAGGTAAAGAATATGTGTAACTTGGTTTTGTTGTGGATCAATTGACCCTACTTACATGTAGTATGCTTTGAGGTGTATAGTGTTCTAGGATCTTAGCAGAATGTCTCCTTCGAGTGTTTCTAGCCAATATGCTCCTTTTCCTGCTT